GCCGGCCCCGCGCCCCGCCCGCAGCCCCGCCCTCACACGACCCTTTCTCTCTAGAGCGGTAACAGCATCATGGTGGAGGTGGCCACAGGCCCCTCAGACTCGGCCACCCACGAAAAGGTGGGTGTCTGCGCCTGGTGACCCGAGGGTGGTGCAGCCAGAGTTGGGGGTAGGGAGGCAGCAGAGTGCCGGGGGAGGGGTCTGTGCCCCGGGGGGCTGGGGCACTAAGCCGACCACCCCCCACAGCTCCCCATGGCGGGACCAGGGCAGTAAGCCAGCTCCCCCTCCCCTGCAGCTGCCCATGGTCCTGAAGGTGCCCAGACTGAATGCCTCCCCACTGGCCCTGTGTGACCGGCCCTTCTCCCTGCTGGGCTTTGGAGACATCTTGGTGCCAGGTACCAAATCATGCTTCTCGTGGGCCCACCAGGTGCCGGGCCTTTGTCCCCCTCGGCTGAAGTGGACCCGGGGAGCATGGGGCCAGAGGCTTGGGTGGGAGGGGCAGGTGAGGAGGCAGAGCTGAGGTGGGAGGGGCTCTTGACTCTGGGCAGTAGGCCTAGCACCCAGGGAAGGGTCCTGTGCAGCCCTACGGGCTCTTACCGCCTGGAGACATGAGGACGCCTCTCAGTCGGAGCCAGTGTGGCCTGCGTCGGTCACAGCTCCACGCAGGCCTGCTGGGGGCTCCCTGTCCCTTCCTCCCTCCCCTGACACACTCACCATAATCGGCATCATGCCCATTCCGTGCTGGGTGGGCAGCACGCCCCCCTGGGAGATGGCAGGCCCTAGGTGGTCGGTACCATCCTGTCTGTGCTCTGCATCCTGGGCAGGCGGCTCCTGGGCCGGTGGCTTCTCGGGGGGATGGTGCCAGCTCACACCCTCTCCCCCCAGGGCTGCTGGTGGCCTACTGCCACAGGTTCGACATCCAGGTGCAGTCCTCCCGCGTCTACTTCACAGCCTGCACCGTCGGTACGTGCCCTGTGGCAGCCCCCCCTTCCCCAAGGCCCGCCCCCCCCCCCGGAAGCCAGCTGGGGCATGGGTGTGCTGGCCTCACGTCCTCCCTCTTCTTGTTTTGTTCTTTTTTCTCCGTCTGTTTGCTGTTCCTGGACTTTCTCCTCTAGTTTTTCATTTGTTTCTTTGTTACCAAGGCCATTTACACAACAGCAGCATTTGTGTTGAGCCCAGATGCGCCTCTTTTCAAACAACTGCAGACCAAGTTGGTCGTATGCCACCCTAGCGGGCTCCTAAGGCAGTGAGCTGTGCTTGTCCGTGTGCACATGCACGCGTGCTCACTGGCACACAGCTGTGCCCCCGCAGAAGGGGCGGGCCGTGGGGAGCCTGTGCCTGCCCTCCGTGCTCGCCGGGCTCAGCTCCTCCTCGGGTTGGCCAGCTCTTCCCACTGCCAGAGTTCACTGCCTGTGGCTCAGCTCCGCTCTAGGGGGGTGGGAGTCTCTGGGGGCACAGCGAGGGTCTGGGCGACTGGCCACGAGGTGGGTTGTTGGAAGCCATGCGGGGCCCCTTGGAAGGGAGGCCTGGGGACCTGCTTCTGAGAGCAGCCGCGGGAAACCTTGGAGCAGGTCTGACCCAGGCAGGGTGGCCGTGAGCTGGAGCGGGCTTGACAGCTGCTCCCAACAGCGGACAGACAGACAGACTTACGTGTTCCAAACGCTTGAGGGTGAGATAAGGACACTGGGCGCTTGGCCCGTGAATGCCCTCAGAGGTCTTTCCTCAGAACAGGGGCTGCCTCAGGCGGCCACAGTTCAGTATCAGAGGTTTGTTGTTTTCCAAATTACACGTGAACATTAATTACAAGCTGTGTTCTGATTAAAGGTTATTTAATCAGACGTCTGGACACAGTCTGTAGCTCTCTGTCTAGCCACTTCTCCGATTCAGGATCCCTCCCATGGCCACCGGCTGGCGCCTCCTTCCCCTTCCGCCTTCATGCCTCTCCCCGCCCCCCAGCTGCACAGCCTCCGAGATCGCCCGTGATCTCACCCCGGGCGACGCTGGCCTCGAGCCCCTGCAGAGGAGGGTGGGCACGCACTCCATGGGGCATGAGGGCAGGCGAGCTCTCAGCCCAAGGTGACGTGCCCTCTGTCCCACTGTCCCCAGCCTATGGCATCGGCCTCCTGGTGACGTTCGTGGCACTAGCCCTGATGCAGCGTGGCCAGCCAGCCCTGCTCTACCTGGTGCCCTGCACGCTGGTGACAAGCTGCGCCGTGGCGCTCTGGCGCCGGGAGCTGGGCGTGTTCTGGACGGGCAGCGGCTTTGCGGTGAATACCAGTTTGCTATGACTGTCGTGGGCACAAGTAGCCTAATAAGCGCTAACTCGAGCTCCAGTTGAGTACCCCGCCCTGTGTCTCGACCAAGCCCACGCTGACGTGTCCTGTGGCTGTGCTCGGGTGTCCTTGTCATCTGGCTGCTTGAGGCCGTCAGAGCAGGGCCGTGCTGGGGCTACGGGGCCGGCCTGGCGTCCTGCTCACCTCTGTTGGGTGATGCTCTCTCCTGGGACATTGGGTTCCCGAGCACAGTAACACCCATTGGCTAGACCTCCTGCTTCCAGCACCTTCCACAGTGCAGAGCCGTGCTAGACTCGGGGGTGAGCTGCATGGCCTCCCTGCTGGACGAGGGCCCCATCCAGCTAACAGGTGGAGCCCAAGGTGGACCAGTGACGGGCTGGACCCCCCTGGCCTAGGAGGGCAGCTGTTGGGGTGGTGTCCCCCACGGAGGGGACGGAATCTGTTGCACCGTGCTCCTTGGTGCACAGTGGGAACACAGGCTTACTGGTCAAAGCAGCTGAGGTCACATGGCATGAGGACGGTCAGGCCCATGCCCGTTGGGCACCTAGGACCCGGCTTGCCTGCAGTCACCCAGCAGTGGGAGGCTGCCCTCCCTGTGCCTGTCTGGGACTTGCAGGTGAACTCACAGACCCATTCACCTCCTGGAAGTGAGCATCCTGGGTGAGGGGCTGTCCTGTGTGGTGTTACTGTGCTCAGCCTTGTGGACGTGACCGCGCTGGTCCATCCACCCCAGCGGGGGACATGCTTTAACGGACGTGGTGGCTTCAGGTCCGACCTGAGTGGACCCTTCCCTGGCCCTCCGGAAAGTTCCCCAGCTTTCATGGGTGCCCTCCTCAGAGGGTTTCTGTTCCAGTGGGTGTGTTCTGGGAAGGTCAGAGAAGCTGGGAGCGTGCCAGGCCACAGCCCCCCTTCTGTGTCTGCCACGCCTCGTCTGAGAGGCCAGCGTGCGTCGGGAAGAGCCGGGCTTTCTGACAGAGGGTTCTGTCATGACCTGGCCAGTCCCGATGGCTGGCCTCAAGTTTCCCGGTGCTGCTGCTGTGCCCATGGGCTGGCCGTGGTGCCGGGGACAGCACCCAGGGGCTGGAGCTGATGGCTGGGGGGAAGGGTGCCTCTGCCTGCCCACTGGGCCCAGGTAGGTGACTGAGGAGAAAGCCAAGCACAGAAGGCCCTCTGAGGGCAGGGCCCGTTTGGACCCCTGCCCTGTTCCCACAAGTGTCTGTCCCAGCTCCTCCGTGTGTTCCCCTGCCCCTCATTCCTCCGTGTCTCACCCACACTGTGTCCCTCTGCCCCTGTGTCCCCTGCCCCCTGGGTCTCACCCCTGGCTTCTCTCTTGCAGAAAGAGCTACCTCAGCCTCCCTGGGACACAGCGCCTGTCGACGGCCCACGACCTCTGAAAGACCCTGGCATGCCCCCCTCACAGCAGCCTCCCAGTGAGGATGCCGTCACCGCCACCCCCGCTGGAGAAGAGCAGCCCCCTGGACCGCCCACACCCCAGGAGCCCGCTGAGACCACCAGCACCCCAGAACACATGGACCAGGGCCAGCCTCGCCTGGAGGAGTCTGCAGCCCAGCCCAGCACCTGGGACTAGGCACACAGGCAGGGCACCCCCTGCGTCTGGCCACCCCCCCACTGAGAGTCCTGGTGACGGAACACGAGACTGCCCCCACGACACACACGCGTGGGGCTACCCTCGCCTTGAACATGGTGCTCTGGCCCGGCTGACGCCGCGTCGCGAGAGCCCCTCGCGCCGGCTTCCCTCACACCGTCTGCGTCCTGGACTCCCCAAGTCCCCACGTGCTGCTCTGAGCTCTGGAGCCTCTGTGCTTGGCTTTCTCCTCGGTCACCTGCCTGGGCCCAGTGGACGCGTCCTGAGCAGAGCAGAGGTCGGCGGGGTCTTCCGAGCGGCTGTCAGCGTATTTATATCTGGTGCTTAACACGCTTCTCCCCTTGTTCGGGTTTTATGTTTTCCTTCTTACCGACGAGGCTGCTCCCAGGCAGGGGTGCGGGCTCTGCTCGCTGGAAGGCACTGCCTCCCGGTGACTCCTGGAGCCTGGGCCTCAGGACTGCCCAGGGTACAGGACGGGGGAGGGGTCTGCAGGGCGGGGCAGAGGGACAGGCCCTTGGTTCTGGTTGGCCATCAGCCCAGAGGATGTGCAGGTGAGCACCTGGACCCACTGACAGCTCTCGGGGCCCACGCGGGGGCTGTGGGCATCTGGGCACCCAGGACACGCAGGCACTGGGACTTGGGGTGTTTGGTCACCTCTCAGTCACTGACATCCAGACTGTGGGACTCCATGTTCCATCTGTGCTGCGGGCTGGCCCCCAGCGGGTTGTGCGCGCTCCCTCTTCTGACAGCCGCTGCCCCCCGGAATGCGAGGGGCTTTTCTGGAATGCATTATCTTCTACCTCACCGGCAGGGCCCCTGCAGCAGATATGGTATGCATACAGAGACCCCTGCCTGGTGCACCCCCCCACAGGCCTCCCATGACGGATATGGTGTGCGTACAGAGACCCCCACCTGATGCACCCCATATCACTACCGCATGCCACAGACGCCTCCTCCTCTCCCCAAGGAGCTGCTGCCCAATGCAGCACTCTGCCTACCCCCCAGCCAGTGGTCCCTGTGCGTGGATTGGTGGGGACACTGACCACCAGGGTTCCGCCCCGCCCCCCCACCCATCCACACTTCAGGCCCCAGAGGTTCCCAGTGACCTATTGCCACAGGGTTGCCTGCACCCAGCCCTTCCCACTGTTTGTCCAGACACCAGGCTCAAGGTCACATGAACCCCAAAAATCACCAGCGCCAGAGACGGGGTGGCCTCGTCAGTCACTGCTCTCGAGGGTGGTATGATTTCCCCTGAGAAAGGAAGCCAGAAAAAAAAAGCTACTTCCCTCTGTCTGTCTGTCTGCCTCTCCACAAAGTACTGCCGGTCTGGGTAAGGTCGGCAGCCCCCTCGGCGTCCCCAGGCACGGGGGACAGGATGATCAGGGCAAGGTCAGCTCTCCACAGCTTCCCAGGGCACGGGGAAGGCAAGGTCGCAGCAACGCTGCACCTTCACTAAAGCCATTGTACACCCGGGTGTGGACCGCTTGGGGGGTTTGGTTCTGTCTTGGAGATCTGACCAATGTCGGACAATAAGCCCGCCTCAAGGGTTCAGTTTGTACTTTCTGCCTTGCTTCTGTTTGAATCTCAACATTAAATGGCTTTTGGTATTTACACCTAGCCTCTGGACCTTCTGTAGAGTAAGGTGCTTGAAAGCGAGCGCTTGGCGGGGGACGACGGGACGGAGGCCTCAGACCAGAGCCCCAGCCCAGCTTCTGCCCACAGGGAAATGGGCCAGTCTGTCCACGTGCCAGCTGAGGCTGCGGCTTTGCTGGCCTGACTCATGGACTTTCAGACTTGGAAGGAATCCCAGAAGTAACTTAGTTTGTTCCCTGTGTTTTAGATACTCTTAACTTATTCCTAATTCAGGCCAGATTCGGAAGAGGGCGTGGAACGAGGGATATCCTTGCTGGTGTCAGATGGGTCTTGGCTCAAAGCAAAGAATACCTGAAAGATGTTTGTGTTTTATTGACTACGCAAAGGTATTCGCCTGTGTGGCTCATAGCAAATTATGGATAACATTCAGAGTGGGAATTCCAGACCACTTCATTGTGCTTATGAGGAACCTGCACATAGACTAGGAGGTGTCATTTGAACAGAACAAAGGGACACTGCATGGTTTAAAATCAGAAAGGGAGTCTGTCAGGGTTGTGTGCTTTGACCACATTTACTCAATCTGTGTGCTGAGCAAATAATCCGAGAAGCTGGGCTGTATGAGGAAGCACATGGCATCAGGATTGGAGGAAGACTCATCAACAACCTGCAATATACAGATGACACAACCATGCTTGCTGAAAGTGAGGATGACTTGAAGCACTTAGTGATGAAGATTAAAGACTCCAGCCTTCAGTATGGATTACTCGTTTGTTTGTCACACCATGGTAGATTGTGCGTTACTGTGACGCTGGAAGCCATGCCACCAGTATTAAAGTACCAGCAGGGTGCCCGTGGTGGACAGGTTTGAGTGGGCCTTCCAGACTGAAACAGACTAAGAAGGATGGGGCCATCCACTTCTGAAAACAATTGCCCACTGAGCGCTTTATGAAGAGCAGTGCAACACTGTGATGTATTACTGGAAAACATTGTGCTAAATGGAGAAAAGATTGACATTGTCAACTATTTCAGTACACTTGCATCCACAGTCAACACCCACGGAAGCAGCAGTCAGGAAATCGTATTGACATACTGCATCCGGCAAATGGGCCGCAAAAGGTCTTTTTAAAGTGTTAAAGAGTAAAGTTGTCACTTTGAAGACTAAGGTGTGCCTGCCCCAAGCCATGGTATTTTCAGTAGCCTCGTATGCATGTGAGAGCTGGACAATGAGTAAGGAGGGGTTGATGCACTTGAATTATGGTGTGGGCAAAGAATAGTAAATGTTCCACGGACTGCCAGAAGGATGAACAAATATGTCTTGGAGGAGGGGCAACCAGAATGCTCCTTGGAAGTGAGAACGGCCAGACTTCATCTCGGCACCTTCGGTCATGTTCTCAGAAGGAACCATTCCCTGGAGAAGGGTATCATGCTTGGTAAGGTGGAGGGTCAGTGAAGGAGGGGAAGCCCTCAGTGAGATGGACTGACACAGCGGCTGCAGCGACGGGCTCCAGTGTGGAAAGGGTTGTGAGGAAGGGCCAGCACTGGGCAGTGTTTGCTTCTGTTGTACACGGGGTCGCTATGAGTCGGAGCCGACTCGACGGCACTTAACAACAGTCAAACCAAAAACCAAGCTCGCCACCGTCGAGTCGGCCCGACTCATAGTGACACCCCCTCCTTGGGTTTCCGAGGCAGTATCACTGTGGAAGTAGATTGCCCAACCTTCCTTCCGAGGAGTGGCCGGTGGATTTGAACCGCCAGCCTCCTGGTTAGCAGTCAAGTGTCTTAGGCACTGTGCCAC